ACCATATTCTTTGTTAATTACACTACTGTAATACTTTGCAACTAAAAGACACTACATAAAAAATAACTTGTAGTTTTCTGAGGCAATACAATTCTATGTAATTTTCCCCTACATTGAAATATCATTACAACTCTCTCTACTACACTATTATTTTAAAACTTAAATATATTTAGTTTTGACTTTTTCAAATAGAAACTGCACAATTTCGTCAGAAATGTGTCTCAAGGTATTAATGAGCTGAATTTTATTCTTCTTTATTTCAGTTAGTAAAACCGTCCATGGATGACTATTTCTGATCACTGAAATAATACAGATTTCAGCATCTTTAAATACGATGATAAAAAATTGTGATGATAAGAAGAATTGTTTTATTGAAATAGCAGTGCCCCTCAATATTTTAGCATCATCTACCAACAATGTCACTTTGAGAAGGAACCAATTCCACAACACTTATCAACAACAATAACAACCTAATAAGCAAATGTTTTACTAGTCATTTACTATCGATTGTTATTATGCTAATAATTTAATAAATATCATTAGATTTTTTGTTCAGTTTTGTTGGAAGAATATCTGCCAATCACCTATATAAAAATGGATTTGTGATGTAGTCATTAGAGGCATTCCCTGTCTCATTATCTGAGAAATTATTATAAAAGGGCTTTTATTATTGTTGTTGGGTGCCGTCCAATCAGCTCTAACTTACAGCGACTCTAAGTATGACAGAACAAAACACTGCTGGGTCCTGCACCGGCCTCACAATCCTTGCTTTACCTGAGCCCATTGGTGCAGCATAACAATTTGAAAAGTGTGTTGCATATTTACCTAGTTGAATACATCTTAAAAACAATATAATCTAGCTATGGCTTCAGTTTAGGAAGCAGAGCCCTAGGAATGGATTGGCTGTCATTATTGTTGGACAAACAGATATTCTGCAAAATTGCAACCTTCCTGGAACACATCCAGTAGTGAGGGTCACTGAAAAATGAGCTTCCACAAGTATTGAGTAACCTGTAACAGTAACTCAAATCCAACTGAGGAAAAAAAATCTGGAAAGATCCTCTCTGAGGTGGAGGGAAAAGGGGAAAACCTCTGGTGGTGTAG